ACATTTCACGTAGAACTAATATGTAGTTAAGGAAAGCTCTCTGTTTTTTTTTGTTTTTTTTTTTTTGCCTGAAAATGTCTTTATTGTCCTTCATTTAAGAAAAATATTTTGACTGGATATAGCTTTCTGCATTTACTGTATTTTTCTTTCAGCACTTTAAAGATCCTCATCCATTCTCTTCTCATTTGCATAGATTCTGACAACAAATTGTTTAAGATTCTTATTTTTGGTCATCTGTATGTAATGTCTCTACTTTTCTCCTGCTGCCTTGAAGATTTTCTATATTTCTTTGTGTTTCAATAGTTTGTGTTTCAATAGTTTGAATATGGGGTGTGTGTGTGTGTGTGTGTGTCTATGTTCCATAGCATTTCAATGACTTCTCCTTTTTTCCCCCACTCTTTTTTCTCTTTATTTTCAGTTCGGGTCATTTCCACTGAACAGTCTTCAAGTTCACTGATTCTTTCCTCAGCTATGTTAATTCTATTGATGAATCTATCAAAAGCATCATCATTTCTATACTATAATTCTACTTCTAGCATTTCCATTCAACTCTTATCTTTTCTATCACTTTGCTGAAATTACTAGTCTACTAATATATGTCATCCACCTTTTAATACAGTTGTTAAGATGTTAATCATAGTTATTTTCAATTCCCTTTGCTATATTTTTGATATCCAGGTCATCACTGACTCTTCTTCTGTTACTTACTTTCTCTTGAAAGTTGATTGCTCATTTTGTTTTCTTTGGTTTGGTTTTATTGCAGCCTCATAAATCTTTGATTAAATTCCAATAAGTGTGAAAACAGTTGAGGTTTTGGTAAATAGTATTTTTGCCTGGTAATAGGCATGCCTTCTTTTCTGCTAGCAATTAGGGTGATGAATTAAGTCAATCAAATCAGAAGTTTGACTAGGTACACATTTTGTTGTTGCTACTGTTACTTTCATTTCACCACAGGCATCAGATTCCTCTAATAGGGTACTGGAGGGTTTTTCACAGTATTCCTTTTCCATTTTCAGCTTTAGCACTTCCTTTTGTGTCCCTGCCTCAGAGATGGTCTCCTCATTGTTCACCCTCTCCCAACTGTTACTTGTTTGTTTCTGCCAGCCAGGTTGGTGATGTGGGGCATGGAATTCTCTGTTGTACTAGTAAAGCCTAAATCTAAGACAGTGCTTGTATCTCCCTAGGTTTTAGGGATGAAGTTTTATCATTGATCCTGCCATTCCCGCAGTGATAGGAGATATCTAATAGTGTTGGTCCATAACAGTCTCTTGTCCCTTTCCCAGGAGTGGAAGGTTTTTCCTTTCCCCTTCCCCCATAGCAGATCTTTACCTGTGCTATGGGGGTAACAGTGTTTGAAGCCTTTCTTTTAGCAGCTTAAGACTTTTGCTCCCTAGGACATACAAGACAAGGTGGAGTTTTAGTCTTTTCTCACAGTGGCAGCTGCTCCTCTCCTCTAAGCCTGCACCACCAAGGATTGCATTCTTTCCTCTCTCACCCTGCCTGCAGTCTTTCTCATAAGCAACTAGTGATGTCCATGGAAAAAAATCCTGTAAGGGAGTGTGTATTTCTTGTGTCCATGGCTTCCAGGGCTTCTATGCTCTCCCATTAGCCCACGTTTGTCCTTTATCAACTTGCTTTAAAAAATTACTGAACTTTTCATACCTACTTGTATGGTGTCTGGTATGTCTTCCTTCAGTGCTCTGCCAAAGATCTGCCAGTGCTTGAATTCCATCTGTCTTTGAAGATACCGTAGAGTTTTTCCTTAGTTTTTTTTCCCTTAGATTTCATGTTATTTGGTTGCCCTGTTACCCCTACTCTCTAATGGGTTCAAGAAAACTTGATATTTTACATTATCTGGCTTTTTCTTGCTGTTAGGATAGGAGTAACAGTCTTTCCATCTTTCTACATCCTAGGCAGATTTCAAATGTTTTAAATCATATAGCTCCTCAAAACGGTATTTTTGAGTAACTTTCCCTCATATTTCTATATTTTTTGATACATTATATACTTGTACTACTGCACAAATATATAAATCAAAAACATACTCAAAAATAGAAGTAAGAAAACATGCTATGCATACTTGGATGAATATGGTGACATAAACTGACCAGTCCCTATTTACTCCCTTTGGAAATCACTCAAAATCACAAGGAGAACAGTGTTCCTCTGTGTTTCAGAGACAAACTGTGAGCAGAGTGGCTCCTGCCAATAGTCACTACACCTCCTTTGCTGATGTTGCCAAAAAAAAACAAGTTTTAGTTTTTTTTCTTTTTTTTTACATATATATATGCCTCTCACCTTTAAGAAGTGAGTTTTTACTAGTTTCTTTCTGATTTATGGAGCCTGAGAGAAAATCTAAAGAAATGATCACATAGATAAGCCATGTTTGTAGAAAACAGTTTTTTTCAGTGACAGCAAAGAAGAAGGGAGCTTTTGAATTGTGAAAACAAGTCAGTCTTAAAATACTATCCTTGACCTTCCCCCAGAAACTCTCTAATTATTACATGGAAAACCAATCTACTTCAGTGATGAGTAATAAAAAGAGAATGAGCATAGAACATCTGTAAAGATACTATGAGAAAAAGGCAGACAAAGAAGAGCAAACTCCAATAACAGAAGAACTCTCACTAGAATAGTTGCCAAAGTATGGGTGAAATTTTTGACTAAACATTTGCCATGGCTTTTAAAAACTTAATAAAGCAGGGTCTTAATGTAGAAATCCAAGAATCAGGAAAGAGATGATAAAACGTTAAATGATAGAACTCTGGAAATGAGTAGAATTGAAAAAAAAGATTTTAGAGAGAAAAGTGACAGATAAAGATCATGAGTAAAGAAAATCCAACATATGCATAATTGGAATCCCTAAAGAAAAACACTGAAATTATGTTCTGTGGGAAGCAGGAAAGGTCTGTGTGTGGTAAAGATGAAAATTTATATGAAAATATAAATCAAGAAAACATGCTGAATTATCAGAAGATTTTAATGCATACATTAAACTATTAAATGATTAAAGGCCACATTATGTAATAGGGAAATTGAACAGAATGATCATCACTAAGGAATGTCCCAGTAAAATGATTTGATTCAAAGATGAAAAAGTTATTCTTTGGGAAGACTGCACACACAAGTGAGGCAAAAAAATCAAGCTGTCCTCCATATTGTCTGTAGCAGCACTCTATAGCAAAACACAGTGGGGCACTCCTTATAAAATCAAATGGAAGGGCCTGCCCCATGGCCAAGTGGTTTAGTTTGTGCACTCCACTTTGGTGGCCCAGGGTTTCGCCAGTTGGGATCCTGGGCATGGACATGGCACTGTTTATCAAGCCATGGTGCGGTGACATCTCACATAGCACAACCAGAAGGACCTACAACTAGAATATACAACTATGTACTGGGGGCTTTGGGGATAAGAAGAAGAAGGAAAAAATAATGAAGAAGAAGATTGGCAACAGATGTTAGCTCAGGTTCCAATTTTTTAAAAAAAAACTTAAAATAAGATTAAATGGAGAGAAAAATACAAATCAGAGATTCTCTACACAGCCAAAAGTTCATTCAAGTAAACAGGAAAGAAATCAACAGTTGAAAACATACTGTATTCTCAGGGATTTTTATTTCCATAAGATATTCTTGAGAAAACTAGTACTAAAGAACACATTTTGACCAAGATGTATATGACTAGAAACACAAAGGCATAAATGGGCATAAAATATATTTAACCATAGAGCTAAAACTAAAACAATTGTAGAGATTAGGGTGACAGACAAGAAAGCACATATTATGAGCCCTAACAATGTAGAAATTATATAACTAATGAAAACTGGAACAATGTGGAGGAAAAGGTCTAAAGAAGATTAAGTATGCTGATATCTTCAGTTATAATAGCTGATCAAAGGATAATATGTTAACATGATAAATAGAAATATAAGAATATTTAGCAATGCGAATGTAAACACCAAGAAAGACGAAATAAGTAAAATTAGATAGTTGAAGAAGAAATAGAGGATAAGAGAAGAGTGAAGAAGTACCCTAATTTCATTATTTCTCAGTGAAAAAAAATAAGACTCTGGATTAAAAAAAACAAAGGACTGAGGATACTATAAAAAATTAGTTATAAAGGTAACCAATAGAAGGAAATAATACAAACCTTCCTAAATGTTAAAAGAAACACACATACACACATGCACAAAGAAAAAAGACACTTGTTAGTGGACAATCCTTTAAAATCTTTAAACATGAAAAATGCAATAAAAATCATAAGACAAAAGCATTATCACATATATTTGTAATACCAATAAAAATAAATGGCCTAAAATTCAACTTTTATTTTAAAAATTAAGTCTTTCCAATTTTGTTACATAGCAAAGTCCAATTCTATGCTCCATACCAGAGATACAGCTAAAACTAAGTGTTCGGAAAAGTTGAAGATAAAAGTATGAAGCGATACAAAGTAATTATAATACAAGACAAGGTTTGATTCAAGCCAAGAAGGCATTGAATGACATAAGGGAGTATACTTTATAACATTAAAATGTACAATTCACAAAAAGCAAATTGAAAGAGTTGTGCTTTTGGTGATTATATGAACTTTATATAGAGTATCCCATTTTGCCATGGACAGTTTATGTCTGTTGCCCTGGTTTAACTTTTTATAGAACCTTGTTTATTCTTAAAATATCTGTGCTTCCATAGTGAATTATATAATCATCCTATGTTTAATCCAGGAATGCAAGGATGGTTCCATATAAGGAACTGTATTCACATAAATCCAAGGAGTCTCAGCATTGTGCCATCAGCCTTGAGACATGCAGTATTATATTCTTTTATAAGCTCTTGTAAGCCTCTGCTTTTTCAGCATTCACTTCCTTTGGCTCACTGGATCACAGCTGTGACATATGTTCCTTTTACAGGGTCCCTTGAAAGGCTTTCTGGAAGATTTAGGCAGACTGCAAAAGAAGTTTTATGCCAAAGACGAACGGTTACTTTGCCCTATCAGGACCTACCTGGTTACAGCCAGGAGTGCAGCCAGTTCAGGAGCCCGCGTGCTGAAAACCCTTCGCCGATGGGGTCTAGAAATAGATGAAGCTCTTTTCCTTGCTGGAGCTCCTAAAGGTCCCATCTTGGTGAAGATAAGGCCTCACATCTTCTTTGATGACCAAATGTTCCACATTCAAGGGGCACAGAAATTCGGCACCGTCACAGCTCATGTACCTTATGGCATTAGTCAAAAAATGAACACTTAGGGTTGGGGAGGAGAAATAAAGTAGTGAGTGTGATATTCAGAAGCCACTTCTTGTGGATCTCTAGGGTAATTATATAGGCATTTTAGAATATTGGACCTCAGAACTCAGCCCATTTGGAAAGGTTTTCCCTTGAGTTTTGTTAAACATTTTGAACCCTCAAGTTACCTTCAAGCTACTTCTCTTCGAGCTGTCAGTGCTGTTGTATACCATTGCACCTACTTTTGTGTGTAAGTCATAAGGACGACTCTTTACAAGTTTAGAACTTGAATGCTCGAATGCTTAAAGGGCTCTGTCAGAAGCCTACTTAGTTTTACAAAGCATTGCTCTTTTTTGGATGTCAGTAGATAGAATGAATTGTTATCCATCATCATTATAGAACAGTGGTCTTCAAAGATGGAAAGAGTAAAGTACACTCTTGAAAATTAGGGCTTTTTAGCCTGTTGCCTCTATTACCAGACTTTTAATCAGAGCAAAATGAAAATGTCACTCCACCTGCATGAGTATACCAATTTGACAGTGCTCATTCAGGAATAAATCAGCTGGTTATTCATACAGGGCCCTTTCCATCTAAGATGAGCTCAGAGAGAACCTCCTGGGAAGGAGTCTTTGAATCTTGTTAGGTGGGTTCATTGTCTGTGGACCACAGGGCTTCATATTTGAAGTCTCTGGCTTTGGGCCTGGAGGGTAGGCCCAATGTTTGTATGAGAGAAAAAAACCCTTGGCCTCCACTTCAAAATGTGACATGAAGTACAGTATCCTAGCCTTTCATTGTTGTCATTCTGTTGTGATTTTTGTTTTGTGTTCAAAAAACATTAATTGATTATTAACCATAATCTACCAGACATTCGGCAGTGAGCTGGTTATTTTCACGTTACCTCATTTTCTCTTCAACCAAACATTTGTGACATCATATTATTATTACCTTCCTTTTTATCAAGGAACCTAAGATTCAAAAAGATTAAGTAACTTATCCAAGGATGTGCAGCTAATAAATGGTATGACTAAGATTCAAATTCAAGTCTTACTTACTTCAAAAGTTATATGCTGTCTATTTTCTCTGTGTTATATAGCCTTCCAAATTGAGTTGTTCTTAATTCCATGGCCCAAGGACCCATCATGAACAGATTTGTCATTCCATTATGTTCTGTGCTTAAGCTACACAGCAGTTATACTGCACGTCTGGGGATTCCTCTCCTCCTCTCTCTGCTTCACTCCCTCTCTTGCTCTTTCTCCCTCCCCATCTCCATCTCTCCCCCATCCAGACATACATATTCCACCCCTGGCTCTAGTTAAACACCACTGCTGACATACATCTTTTGATCTGCTTCCTAATTTGATGTAAGCCAGTCCAAAATATATCAGTCATAACACTTATTGAATACCTACCATTTTCTCCGCATTTCCCAATGTGAAGACCACAAAGGAGACTCAGACATAACGCCATCCTTTAGGAAATTTAAAACCTTAACAATCCTGTAGAGGAAGTCAAATGTGCAAACTCAAATAGCCAACACTAGGGGGCTGTTTGTCCTCAGTGCCAAGTGAGGGTCACACATGAGGTTGAAGCACAGATCTGTGTGGGGTGGAAGTGGTCTGGAAATGGAGAGAACTGAGCAGGACTTTGAAGGACAGGAAAGATGTGGATGGACAGAAAGGAAGAGAGAGAGGAAACAGATGTGCTCTGGGCTCTGTGAGTTTGAGAAGCAGCTTCAAACTACAGACAGGGTGGAATACAGGCCCATCCTTCATGATTTCTGTTCCTGGCGCCACTAATCCTCAGTGACAGTGCTCTTTCCCACCTCTGAGATCCATCCTCAGCACTCATAAGAGACCTTCTTCTGGCACTCTACCCCTTTTCTCTTGGTATTGTGACTATTCATTGCATGTTATATCCTTCTCAAATGTAAGGGAGTGGAGGTGAGTTTATCAAAATCGTCTAGGGAGTTTATTTCAAACTATCCAAATCGTGTGTCTCTTCTCTTGCCCCGAAGATTCTAGAATTGGGGCTGGGGCAGCAGAGGTCTCTGTACCAGACAGTAAGCACCCCGAAGGCAAAACTGGTGCCCTATTTCCCTGTGACCCTCACAGAGCACAGGGCCTGGCACGGACTGGATGGGTGAGAAGATGAATGAATAATGAATTAAGAGTAGCTTGGCCTAAACCTATGAAGTTTGTAACTTGAAGATGGGTCCCTGTGGCAATAACCCCTGACATTTCTGAAGAATTCCGCAGCAGTATGAAAGCACTTTCCCTGCCACTGTTACATTCAGTAGTCTTGGGAGGGGATGGGGAGTGAGAGAGGGGGTCTGCTTAGAAATCTATATTTACGCTAAGTCCAAGCTTTTCCCACTGTATCTCTGCCAGTTTCAAATAGACCATTTGAGGATGAGTTTTTCTTTACGGACCAATGCCATAATAGTCTTCAATTCTCAAACTGTGGTTCCCAGATAAGCATCGGAATCACCTGGGAACTAGTTAGAAATGCAAACTCTCAGATCTCATCTCCGACATATTGAATTCGAAACTCTGATACCGGGACCCTGAAATTTCTGTTATTTTGTTTTCACAAGCCCTGCAAGTGATTCTGATGCAACGCTAAAGTTCGAGAACCACTGGCCCATTCTATTTCCAATCGATTCATGCTGCTAAAGTTCTTAGCCTCACCTATGGTAAAAAAGAGGCCTTCTCAGACTTCAGTTGGGCAGGGACCGTTCTCCAGAGGGTGAAAATAAATTGAACTAAAGGTTAACAAGTCCCAGGAGCCCTTAAGGGAAAACACAGCGTCCTAACCCTGAAGTGCGGGATTTGTAAACCTGCCTATAAAGAGATTTGTAAATTCAAAGTATTAGTCATTCCCATAGAGAAGGCCACCAGCACTCTGGGATTTCCACGGGCAGGAACCTGAGCAGCCTGAAAACCCCGGTGCCTGTGCTCACCTTCTCCACTCTCAGGCTTGGCGTTGGCTCTGCGGAGGCACCGTGACCCCGCAGCGCTATACTCTCCTAACCAATCAGGTGCCCTCGGAAGGGAAACTACAAGTCCCAGCATGCCTTACGCCGCCCCTTCAGGGGACGACAGCTTGCGCCCCAGAATTCTCCGCGAACAGGTGGCAGCCTCAGCCGGTGGCGGGCTGCGTCCCCGGAAGTCCCGCGCAGAGGCTAGTGGGCCTTCGGCCCCGGCGGCTATGGCCGTGGCTGCAGTGGCGGCAGTACTGGCCGCACTGGGTGGGGCCCTGTGGCTGGCAGCTCGGCGGTTCGTGGGGCCCAGCGTCCAGCGGCTGCACGGCGGCGCGGTCTCCGGCCTCATGCACGGGAAGACCGTGCTGATCACGGGGGCGAACAGCGGCCTGGGCCGCGCCACGGCCGCCGAGCTGCTGCGCTTGGGGGCGCGGGTGATCATGGGCTGCCGGGACCGCGCGCGCGCCGAGGAGGCGGCGGGTCAGCTCCGCCGCGAGCTCCTCCAGGCCGGGGACCCCGGGCCAGGCCCCGACGCCGGCGGGGCGGGCGAGCTCATCGTCAAGGAGTTGGACCTCGCCTCGCTGCGCTCGGTGCGCGCCTTCTGTCAGGAGATGCTCCAGGTCTGGGCCTCGGGGAGCCAGCAGGAGAGCAGGGGACGGCGCGGGGCCTCGGCGGGCGGGACGGGAGCCCAGAGGCCAGGGGGTGTGACCTTGGGAATGACAGAGATGAAGAGTAGAAACAAACGGTTTTTGAGGCGGCTTGAGAGTTGCAGGCCGGAAAAATTGGTAGGGCAGTCTTCTCTCCTCCAAAGATGTTGAGAGAAAAAAAGGAGCCCAAGAGGGGAATAAACCAGTTTCTGAACATTTCCTTTTGTTATTTGAGGACGGCAAGGTCCCAGAGGAGATCCCGCCAGATCTCTGGGTAGTTTTTCGTGTGTCCCAAAAAAAACAAAATCTGCACCAAGCCCTTTCTCAGAAAGCCTGACAGCATGTAGGGGAAGTTGCTAGCCAGGGACCTGGGAGCAGTTTTTTTTTTTTTTTCTTTAATCCTGCTGGGGTGGGAAGCTTAGCTCTGTGCCACCAGGGGATTCATTAACACCATCCTTAACCAGACTAGACTGGAGCTTGGAATCCCAGTGGTCATGTGCCCTAAATGGGGACAGAAATAAAAGTAATATAACACCTAGCATTTCTTGAAGGTTTCCAATGTGCCAGGAGCTGTTCCAAGCATTTCAGATACTTTAAAAAAAATTGTAATGAAATTAAAATGCCCTTGGCTGTTATCGTCGTGGAATCCTCAGTAACTCTGTGGGAATTATTATCCCCGTTTTACAACGGGAGGCAACTAAGCACAGGTAGGCCAAGTAATTTGCCCAGGATCTGTCTCCAGAGCCCACTCTTCTGAGTCGTCTTCTGCACTCCTGCTGCCTGCCAATGAGGTGGAGGATTTCTTTGTTTAGATGGTGAATATGCCGCTGAAGTGGATGCCCTCTGTTGAAAGTGGGGTAGAAGGGTTTCCTGCAGAGGTGACTTGTAAGAGGACTTTCAGAAGAGAAATTTAAAATTAGCGGGCCTAGGAAACTTACCTGTATGAATGGAGTCTCTTGAGTCTTGAACAGAGGTTCCCAAACTTTCTAATTTTCTCATGATGCCCATAGGCCAAAAGAATTATCTACCAGTTTATTTAGTAAGTAATTAGATCCAAACAACTTAATAAGTATTTATGTCCCGAAAACTTAGAAGCTGTTTGAAAAAATAATACACATAACTGAGAGGAAAAAAGGTATTTTCTTTAATTCTTCAATGACCATAATCACTTACTAAAGGGAAATGTGCGCCTGTTCACTGCACCAACGTCTCAAATTTTGGAATCAGATTGAGTATTGCCACTTTCTTTCGTATTCTGCATTGATTTTTAACATTGTGCTTGCATTTTATTACTGCAACTGCTAAAACCTCAGCTTTGCAAAGATATGATATCATCAGAAGGAATATAGCACAATATGATGTTGAAGGTATGAACCACCTGGAGCTAGTAGTTGTTGAGGTGTTGAGCAGAGTATCGCTTCGTTTCCCTTGAAAATTTACAATACTCCATAGCACCTTGTGACATCCTAGGGCACCTTGACGCACAGTTTGAGAGCTGTTGGAGATCTAGAAAGGTTTTTGTTTGTTGGTTTTGTTTTTTATGGCTAGTATTTCATTATCAGGTAAAACAGGTTAGGAAATAATACTAATGTATAAGAGATGTTGGAAGCATTAAAAGTGGGTCTTCCTATTCATTAATTTGTGGATGGCCTGGGCATACTTCTCGTTCCTGACACCTATGGTGTTTTACAGCTTTGGCCACTTGAGACAGAACCAATTAAAAGTTAAGGATATAAAGAGATAACTAAGTTGTCCTTGCTTCTGGGTATTAGGTTCCCTCCTGGCTCTAAAGTTCAGGGACTATAACCAGAATTTTTTAAAAAAAGAAGAAAAAGAGGAAGTGTAAATTTCCCACAGGTTGGTATTCTTGGTATTTATATCATTTATCTCCTAGAATTTAAAAAATAGCAAATGATAAAGTCTTAAAATAACACAAGCCCAGCAAAGAATGATGGCTCAGAAATGATTAATACAGGAAACTCTTCCAAAGGATTAGTGAAAAAGAACACTCCTTTCTTTCCCCCACGGGTGAACTTTTGCCTTCTTTTTGAAGTTGACTATTGGAAAAGCTAAAGGTGCTTAGACAGACAGAATGAGAAATAGTTAATCCCCTGACAGGTAGGCTTGATAACTGTTGTGAAATTTAACACATTTTTCTTTCCACTTGTACTTGGCAAAGGGGCTAGTGAAATTTGAAATTTGACCTCAAATTAAATTAATCGCGGGTCATCGCTGTGTCTTTACACCTGGAACATGTTGTACATTTCTTTTTCTCCATCAAAAGAGACAGAGAGGAGCCAGGAAAAGGGTTGGGAAAACCAACTTATCTGAATAAGGAATGAAAACACTTCCCTCTGAGGACAGTCTAAATTTTAGGACTTTAATCTGGCAAGCTACAGGAGGGTATGGTCAAAGTGCAAAATTCTGACTATATAGATCTCCTAATCTGAGGGCCCCTCGAAGCTTGAAAGAGGTAGATTTCATATAGGAGAAAAAAGAACTGAATTCTAGAGTCAGAGTAGAGGTTAAAGGTGTTTGTTGGTCCTACCGCCTCTGTTAACCTCCTGTGTCCTGTGTTATTGTGAGACGTAGTATTTATGACTCATTGTTTTGTTTCTGTTATGTTTATATTATCTATTTAATGATTTTTCTTAATATTTCTTTGATTTATGTTCTCTCTAGTCTTAATTTGCATTTCTGACCTCTGTTGCTTGTGTCAGTTTTAAGGAAACAACTTGAAGTTGCTCTGTCCACCTGATACCATTTACTCTTTAAAAACTACAGAATAAAGCAAGTCTAACTTTGCCCAGGTATTGATACTTGTAGCGCTGGGAATAAACAATGCTGTATTTTGACTCTCTAGCTGCCATCCACTCTCTGGCAATGGTTTGAAAATCCAAATTAGAAAAGCAAGCTAGGTTACTAATAAGAGCAAGGGCATTGGTGTCAGAAGATTTCATCTTCAGATTTTTGTTTGCCACTTACGAGCCCTGTGATACTGGACAAATCATCCAACTTCAATGCTTCAGTTTGCTCCTACAGTGGTTGAGAGTACAGGAGATAACACGAAAAGCACAAGGCCAGGCTCCTATTAGACAAGCAAGTGTTGTTTGTTTTTTCTCTCTCAATTGTTGAAAACTCATAGAGGCATTTTATAGACTTCTAGTAGTTTGCAAGAATTTTTTAAAATTTTATTTTAGGTACAATTCAGGCTTTTGTTCATATTTCTGCCATTCTCTTTTTGACATTTGAAGGAAGAGCCTAGACTGGACGTCTTGATCAATAACGCAGGCATCTTTCAGTGCCCTTATATGAAGACCGAAGACGGGTTTGAGATGCAGTTTGGAGTGAACCATCTGGGGCACTTCCTGCTCACCAATCTTCTCCTTGGACTCCTCAAAAGTTCAGCTCCCAGCAGGATTGTGGTAGTTTCTTCCAAACTGTATAAATATGGAGACATCAACTTTGAAGACTTGAACAGTGAACAAAGCTATAATAAAAGCTTTTGTTATAGTCGGAGCAAACTGGCGAACATTCTTTTTACCAGAGAACTAGCCCGCCGCTTGGAAGGCACAAACGTTACCGTCAATGTGTTACACCCTGGTATTGTGCGGACTAATCTTGGGAGACACATACACATCCCACTGTTGGTGAAACCACTTTTCAATTTGGTATCATGGGCTTTTTTCAAAACTCCAGCAGAAGGTGCCCAGACTTCAATTTATTTAGCATCATCACCTGAAGTAGAAGGCGTATCAGGAAAGTACTTTGGGGATTGTAAAGAAGAGGAACTATTGCCCAAAGCTATGGATGAGTCTGTTGCAAGAAAACTCTGGGATATCAGTGAAGTCATGGTTGGCATATTAAAATAGAAACGGGGTGAAAGAGAGCTGTTTATAAAACTACATGTCAGTTATAGCTGCGATCAGGAATGGTGTGGCTTGAGCACTTCCTACTTGAAAAATTTTGGTTACAATAGTACTGCTTAGAGGTACATATGGATATTTTCAAGTTACTAAAATCATTTTTTGAAGAAGATAAAATTTTTGAAAAGATGGTTTAAATATATATAATCACAATGAATACTGAAATAAGTATAATAAATACACTTATTTTAAGAATTATAATTGAACAAGCATGGATTACAAATATTAAAGAATTCAGTGGCTTAAAGTAGACACCTTGAGAAGTTTTTCAAATATCTTTGAGTTTCATGGCCAAAGTTTTAAATATTATTGCAGTGCTGGGGTTTGTGTTGAAATAATATGCCTGGTGCATGTGCAGAATTCTCACTTGGAATAAATTTACTGATGCCAATTCTTAGTTGTGTATTTCTTCAGAAGTTGTACCGAAATTCGCCCTTTATCATCTCATTAGCCTCTGCTGGTCTTGGTACGCCCTGTGTCTTTTGTTCCCA